GTCATTGATGAAAAGTAATGCCTATAACATGTCGTAGCTTGGGACGTCTTTGTAAGTCTTTGACCTGTTCCTAAAAAACAGCTTTAAATCAGGGTTCAAAGCAACAATTTGGTTTCCCAGTTTTAGAACAAAAAAACTATGGTGAATACACAAAAATACGTCCCATTCTCAAAACATTTGTTTCCCTGCAACATAATTATGCACCGGTCCGCTTTTCGGCCGATTTTTAACTTTGACCTTTCTTTTCCGATAGAAGATCGATCTGGTAAATCGTATATTGTTAACCGGCCTTAATAAAAAGCTTTTAACTTTGGGTGGGTCAGTGAATCCCATCTCTACAAGGTTATTCTACTGAAGTAACCTGTGGTCAGGCTCCCTTATCTTCTAGAGAGCAAAAGGGAAGAAAGACCGTCTGAACGCAGGTCACTATTGAGGCGATGCTCTAAAAGGGACCAACCGAGTCAGAACTTCAATTATAGATTCCCTTAGTACTAAGATATGTTTTCTAATATAGCGTCGGCAAATTCCTTGGACAGGTTTAAGCTTCTGCCGATAATTCAAAAGATATGAAAAAGCGGCACATTCACAATCAACCTCAGAAATATGGTCCTTAGTACAGCGGAAAATACAATTATGTGTTTTTGTTCTATTATATGTGTTGTTATAATGTTTAGGTCAAAGTTTTAAGCCTGTGAAGGTGACCGAAAACGACGAATCTTCGTTTAAAGTTTCTGAAGAGTCCATTTCAACCAAAAATGATAGAAAAGGTTCAGAGACAGCAAGTAAATCTCCGCTAGTAATCACGGCTTCAAATAAATCAGAAAAGCCTGGTGCAGCAGCTCTCAACGAAGTACACAAACCTGATAGTACAACAATACAAACTACAACAGCAATTAATGCAACATCACATGACGCGGATATCCAGACTTCGCATGTACTCATGAGTCCAAATCAATCACCTAAGCCTGGTTTGCAACCAAGGCTGCCAGAGGAACACACAGTTAGCAATGTAACGATGCAACCTATTTCAAAGGGACACGCAATAATACACAACGACAAAGGCCAGACAGTATATGTTCCTTATCAGATTCAAAGTCACGCTCTTCGTTTGCATCCAAACCTTCCTCTGTCAGAAACAAACGTTATCAGAAAACCGTCTGCAAATTTGATTAAACAACTGGGAAGTGATCTCCATGGCGCCAAAGCAAGCAATATACATGTAGCATTCCAGTGGGGAGCCTTCGGTAAATGCAGTTCAACTTGTGGAGAGGGAGTACAGAAACGATACCGGAAGTGTAATGAGCAAGAATGCACGGCACCAGGAATACAGACGCAGGTTATTCCGTGCGTAAGCTCCTCTTGTCCTGGTAGGTGGGATTCTATAATAGAAAAAATTAAAAATTAGCGCTTGTTAAAATTGATGCAAATCGAGACATTGCGTTAGCAACACGTGAAAGCATTGTTGGGGATGTTATCAAAACGAGGAATGGGGAACGGGGAACGGGGAACGGGGAACGGAGAACAAAGACGGGAAATGGGAAAATGAAAAATGAGAACAATCAGAGAATTAGAATTGAAGTTACTGATGGGGCTAAGGTTCAAGTTAGTTTTAGTTCCCATTTTTCATTTTTCTATTACCCACTACCCGTTTATCCTATTATGGGGATATCAAAGCAAACGGTTTTCGTCTCTAATGTGAGCGCGTGCAGTTCACAGCCCTGTTTATGTGAACACTTGGAAATATTCTTTTGCTGAGGGACCAGTAGCAGCTAATTGTGATCACGGGATACCCATTTGCGAAAGTTTTGTTAAATGTTCTGCCAAGTTTTCATAACAACCAAAGTTGCTCTCGGGGCTTCCCTTTCTTACTTGTTTATTCATAGATATGTTGCAAAAAAATGCGATAATCATCTCAAACTTGTCTGGGATTATTGCCGAATGGCTAAGCCAAATCTCAAGGTTTATGCTACAGTACCTTAACTTTCGTGGTTATTATCATTGTTTCTTGGTTAGTGGAAGCTTTGGAATGGTCTCCTTATACCCCTTGTTCCGTAACGTGTGGAGTCGGTAAAAGAACAAGGTCCCGGATGTGCGATGGAGTTTCCTGCCCAAAGTCAGGGAGAGAGCTTGAAACTGTTTCCTGTATCCGTCCTGGATGTCCAGGTAATGTATAAGGTATTATGGCCGCGTAAATAGTGCGCATATATGAGCACGATTTGTTTGCTAAAGGCTAAGGTTTGAAAAAAATTCATGTAAAACGGCAGATTTAGACTTCATTGTCTACCTTATTTTTTAGTTATAATTAGGATTTTTCAAAAATTATTTTTAGTAGTATAGTAAGGACCGGTTACTCCGTTCTTTCCAGGGAATCTCATAAACGTGCGAGGGAATACACCGATGATGTCATAGCCTCTGTATCGCATGAAAGGGATAAGGTCACGTGCTATGTTCTGGTTGTCCGACCGGTTTGACAGGCTTTATTAAGATGATGTCAGTTTATTGTAAACTATATGCGTCATGCCCTTGTTTGGTCATGAAGACAAATGCGGCTTAAAATCACTGGGTGTCTATTTATTCAGTACATGTTTTTCTTCAATTCCTAGTTGTAGTCGGTGGTTTGAATTCTGCCAACAGTCAATCAGTATCTTCCTCTTACTTTCAAATCTTTATAGCTAGGTGATTTCCCAAGTTTTTTTTTCCCTCACGTGTTACCCTGCACTCTTGCCCTGTTTTTAACAGCCCAGTTTTCATATGAGGTGCCGGCGCCTTTTGCATATTTTGATTAACGAAAATCTAATCTAGATTTATCATTTTTCGATGATAGGTAGTAGAGGTAGTAGTGAAAAGAATGGTAAGCTGAGAAAGAGGACATTCCATTACCACGTGTCGCCATAGCGCAGACTGCGCTTCCATTGCCACTAGATAAAGTTTAATACGTATCTTGCACACATTTTGAATGCTCTGACAGGTTAATCATGATTTTGATTGGTTCTTCATACCCATCAAAGTTTTCAAAAATTGAAACATGTCAAAAACGCTGTCATGTGGCATCCTTAGCGTGATCTACACTGTACAATGGATACTCAACAATGTCATTATCCTATTTTTTTTTTTCTTTCCTCGCAGTTCTGTATTTGGGATTTGAAAATTGGGAAGACCAGATTGTACTAGATGAATCAGACAAAGGAAACAATGCCTTTCTAAGCAATGGTGCGTTTATCGCTCCACACAGAGGAGCTTGCGGTCATTTTGCTAGTCTCGGGAAGAGAGGTGATATAATATTGGAAGATACAACATTCAGAGGGAAGCCCCGAACAGCCATAACAGTAGCATCCTGGGTTAACCTTCCGGGGACTACTCGTGGATCGCACTCTGTGTTCAGTACCGCTCGAGTGATGAGAATTGGGCAGGTTATGGGTAAGCATACTAACGTACTTACTTACGGCTGATCTTACGGCTGAGCTCGCGATAGAGCCTTCATGACAAAATCTTTCCACACGATTCTATCCAGCATTGCTGACCGAATTTACCCTGCTAGTAGAGTCGCTTCGACCTGTCCTAGATAAGTCGGGAAAGAGGAAGACGACTTCTTTCTCGACTTATCTAGGAACGATCGAAGATATTCTGCTAGCAGGGTGGACTGAATTTCGCTGATGTTGTCAAAACCGGTGTCCCTTTTAATGTTGTCGATTGAGTGAATTGGCTTTCTTCCCTTGCTAACTCTTCCTGTTGAACAAGTTTCGAAGCAATTTCATTAGATTGCCCTATAAAATGAAAAGGAAGGCGAAGGCCCTACCCAGCAATGTTGTCAGTAAGTTTTGGTAAGCAACAATATAGTTTTTCATTGGTCTTTTGTTGCTTCCAAGACACAATTAGCACCCTTCGCAGCATTCGCTTGTAACTACCATTCAGGCTCTTCTCCATTTGTTTTGTTAACGTCCATGTGTTTGAATTGTAAAGTAGGACTGACTCGACCGTACAAAGGAAAGGTCGAATCTTGATCTCTTTTTCAGCGATGATGACTAAATGGCTCTAAGCTTGTGACAGGCAGGCCATGCAAGAGCTTCCCTATGACGTATATCCTTTTCACTGCTTCCCAGCCTGCCTCCCAAGAAGTTGAAGTTCTTTACTTCCATGATTGCGCACTACTAATGGATGTTTTGTCATTTGCTTGATCGCGATTGAACATTAGTTCAGTTTTCTTCGCATTCACATGCAGACCCACTTTAGATGCCTCCGTTTCGACTAGCCTGAAGAGTTCCTTTGCTAATAATACAAAAAATTTCGGCGAAATCGAGAATGTGGATAGATACTACGCGCTGACTTTTCCTGGGATTAAAAGCACAAAACCAAGGTCTTCTCTGCCGTCAACAGCCTTTCCCATCAGCTAATCGATAACAATAGCCAAAAAGTAGTGAGCAAGAGTATCTCCTTGGAGAACTCCTCAGTGCAAATATGTGGAAGTACTCTATCTCGCCACTAGGTGATAGCACTTTCGATCGTGTGCCTTCATAGAGCTTGTTTATTGCTTCGACAAGTTGATTGCAGATGCCAAACGCTTTCAATACTTTCCTAATTCAGCATCATACAACGACGGACGCTATCGAAAGCCTTTCTGTTGTGTTGTGGCTTTGATGTGATTTCCCTTCAAACCTTCTAAGATGCGATACAGCGCTAAGATGTACGAAGTAGTTCCACGGCAAATGCCAGTCTGATTGCGACGTAGGTGAGGATCAAGTTTCGGCTGAGGAGTAATTTGTTGACAACTTTAGAAACTACCGCAGAAAGACCAATTCCTCGATAGTTTGTGGTTTCGCGTGGTTTCTCCAGACTTAAGAGTAGGGCTTATGTTAATATCTGACCACTGTTGAGGTTTTTCTACGTCCAACGGCAGCCTTTTGGTGAAAGACTGCATCATTTCATCAGGGTCGCATTAAGTTAAGAACTTCAGGTAGTATTCCATCAGCACTCTCTGATTTTCCATGTCTCAGTTTCAGTTTTCACTTCTTGTTATTTTTCCATGGCAAATACTCCTGTTGTGATGTCCAAATCAGTGAAGACTGTAGTAATTCCTTTATCAGCATTATTCTCAGGGATGTCTGGCTCTTTACCAAGAAGCTTTGACTCATCATATACCACTCACTTGTAAAGAAACGTTCTTCTTTCAGGGCTTCCATCTCACTGATGAGTACCTTTCGCTAGAGACTATCCAAACCACACAAGCCGTTCACGGGTAGTTCGGCCTACTGGGGAAACCGGGGCGGTTTGGATACACTGGCGTTGTCCTCCTAAGTGGTACGCCGACCTACCATTCTGCCATTAGAGTTCATCATTATATAAGGCTGGCCACATATGCTCCGACCTCCGGCGCTGGTGACATCGCAGGGGAGAACAAGATCCTGCAACAACAACAGCAAAAACCACATTCCAACCCTTCCACCTGGGAGGGGTGAAGACAAAATTTCGCTTGTACGGGTCGGTACGTTGTGTGTCTAGATCGAACGGGAAAATCTGTGGCTGCTGTTGCTGTGGCCGTGGCAAAGCCATAGACCCTGTTCCCTAAGTCCGTAGAACACATGGGTACTGCCAACAATAAAGAAAATAAATACAACTATATCCTGACGTCAGATTTCCATGCGATCATATGAAAAATCGATTTTCTCTTCTCTCTCGTGAATACGAGGGTCACGTTGCGATAGTTTTTGGACAGTAGCACGTCGCAAACGAGTCTCACGGTCTCTAGATGCAAACGAACCATGTCGAGGGTGATGGCCATGAGTAACACAAACATGTCTTCTGAAGCATGACATAATGTCGAGGCGAGGGCCAGATCCACAGCAACAGACGTGCCGCTCCGTCTCGGTAGCACTTTGACAGACATCTTGCGGCCTAGAGTCCGTAAGATAAGATTCATCCTATTGGCGACTCCGGGGTCAGAAGTTTGGCACTGTACGTCGTCATCTCAGGCATGGCTAGATGCAATAGTTGTAAGAATTCGTGGATTTAACGGTTGGCTTCACTGCCGATGGGTCGCTTAAACATACCCAATAGATATGTCTGGAGGTATTGCCGCTTGAACGGTTCCAACGCCAACTTAACGCACCTAACGATGCCCACAGAACCGAAATGGGATCGTGAACAAGGTTTATGTGCCTCATCCCTTGCCTTTTCGATTGTTAATTCCCTTTTTATTCGTTTTACGCCCGCTTATCCTATTAAAAAGTCTCCAACTTTCTGCATCTTGTACTCTTGCATATGCTTGCTCAACTTCTGTTTTCATGCTCACCAGTTCCTCTTCGAGTACTTGATCATAGCAGCTTTAAGCAGCTCCTTGGTTCACTGCAGGGCTGGGTAATTGTCAGTAGATGGGTCAACCTGGCCTGGTTGCAATTACGGAAGGATCCTTTACTTTCTTTTTGAAGGGTTCTTAATGGTTAAAAGATTGCTTGCAGCGTCCTCGTAAGTTGTTACTAGCATCGATGTCGCCGTCTTCAAGGCACTGGCAGTGCTGCTTGATAATTTTGAACTTGAGTGCTGAAGAGCTCTTGATCGCATGAACATAATTAATCAATATACTATAGGCGCTTAACTATGGTGTGATTATCATTTCGTTTTTGATAAAACCCCATAGGAGGATATCACTTTGAAATAGATGACGGCAAGGTCCGTTGGTTTCACCGAAATCGCTTCCAGACTCCAGTGTTTAGTGTGCTGACAGATGACATAATTAAGCCGGATGTGTGGACTCACCTGATTGGCTCCTACAACGGTACAACACAGCAGGCTAAGGTGCGTGGGGGTAAGCTAGCGCAAGCAATAGGGCTCGTTTTTAGCAAATCATAACAAAAGTAGCCTGATTTAGACGTAGCCTAGGCATCGTTTATTTAGCGACGAGGGGAGGAAGAAAATAGGGACCTTAAGCAACGAGAACGTTGGTAACCGGAAGTTGATAGTTTCTCTCTTTCAATGCCCTAACCCGACAAATTCGTACAGCGGGAGCTAAAAGATTCGTTATGCGAGAGAGAAGCGATCCATTAAGCCAGACAACGAAGTTCCGCTTGCTATTCATGACGTGCCGGAGGTCAGCGTTTTTGCTGCTTAAGCCGTATCGTATTGGCCAAAGAAGGTATAATAAGCAGTATTATTATACATTGTAGTCACCATCTGTCTTCTCATTGGCTTAAAGCCTACAGTTAATTCTGGGAAACAGCGCAACCTACAGATTATTCACTAATCTGTACCTACAGATTAGTGAATAATCTGTAGGTTGCGTGCGCAATGCATGATTTCCAAGAGCAATGTCAAGTGCACGGACAGCAATGTCAAGTTCGCGGACAGCGAAGTAAGAATGGCTTCTCGATTCGCTTCATCGACCCAGCAAGAAATTGAGAAATTACTTGAAGATAAAGTATAATAAAACAATTATTAGATTCGGTTTTTGTGATATCCGGAATAATCAAGGTCTCGGTTAGTGTTATCAGCCTCAGCCAACACTTACCTCGACCTTGATTATTCCGGATATCACAAAAACCTCATCCAATAATTGTTTAAAATGTGCTGGATCAGCTATAAACGCCATAAAACACTTTCCCTTCTCTTGTTTCTAACCAACCTCGTCTCCAGGGTTCTCTCTTACCTGCCCTCTCCCTCAAGCCGGGGTACGATTAGGAGAGAACTTTGGGAACGAAGTTGGTTTCAATGTGGAAGAAACCATTAGGTGGCATAACGAATGTATGTATGCAATACGGGGGATTCCATCCAAACATAAATGGGTAGAACACAAGCCAAATGCAAGCTAACGTCAACTCGTTGCATAAAGGGCCAGTTCAGAAGACAGCGATCATTTGGATTAATGAAAAATCTTTCTTAAGTTACAGGTGAAAATATTTGATTCTACAGGTGTATGTAAATGGTGCCCTGCAGAGTGTCTCCAGGGGATTCGGATCACTTGATGACTTCTGGGGCTATAAGGCTTGTGTGGGAAGCTTTGACTTGGGCGGACGTTATCTTGGAGGTTTTGTCGACGACTTTTACATATTTAATTACGAAGTTCAACCGAACCAAATCAACGACCTTTTACGAATCAGATGTCCCAAGAAGACATGAGGTCGGGCAGGGTCCAAATAACCAGGGGAAAATGAACGAAAAATTGAACGAGTTTAAAATATATGATGGAACTAAGCCAGAATGGAAAGGATCGAAGCGGTTATGCAAACCCCTACAGTGCAATTACGAACATCCTTGTAGCCTAACGAGTGACATATGGCTATGGGACAAAAGAACTAGCAAGAGTAAATGGGAGGATAAATGAGAACTTACGATCATTATCATAAAACAAGAATACAGATTTGACTGAAAAGATTACTTTCATAAGTAGAAGAAAACGATGGCAAGTCTGTTTTTGATAACGAAATGTAGTCTTAGCGTAGCTTCCAAAAATCCATGTAATTGTGCACAACACAGTTTTCTTTGTACTTAAAAAACTATTGATAATAAATTATACTTTTATGAACGATTGAGTAAGTTGTTTATATTTAGAACGCTATGTAGCTAAACTTGGTACGATCCGACGATGATTCTAAAAGAAGAGCAAAGCAAATTGTTTACTTGTAAACAAATAACAGTTTTATGCCTTTCCCATCAAAAAGTGTAATCAAACGAAACACCGTAACAACTTAAAGGTGGAATACATGGTAAAACACGAGATGTTTACTGCATAAAATCTTCTTTCGCCTCTAATCATTTATATTTTAATTAACTTATTTGATACCAAATTGCTTCCACTCCTATTTAATACGTAACGATCTCCACTGACTTTCAAAAAAGACAAAATCTGGAACAAAACCCCTTGATGTAATAGATTTTCTTTTATGAGCTACCTCCATGAAACACTTAATGTATTTCAAAAGAATCTAATAAACTACCATAATTCATTTCAATGGGTTAGCTCTTCTATAGTGTTAGTAGTAAACAAGCACACGATTGTTTCCGATATTTGGTCAATAAAATGTCGCTACCTAAACAAAAGTTTGCAAACATGAGTTCCACCTGAACAGACGAAAATTGTTCTGAACTGTTAAGACTGTGAATTATTTCTACCCTTTCTCACAAGTTATGTACAACTGAATAAGTTAATTTGACCGTTCCAGCCAAAAAGATACTTAAGAAAGAACCTTCCCAGGCCAGTTACAGAAAACGTAACCCGGGATGTTGCAGGTACTGTCTGACGTCCAGCGTTTCAAGAGTAACCATTTTACGTTAGACGCTGGTGGGAACGTTCCATGTTAAGTGATACGCACGTGTCCGTTCATCTCAGTTCACGGATAAAATGACAACTAGCCAAAGACTCAACAACTTTAGCCACAGGCTGTCCGTCCTTTAAATTACTATCCATCAGTGTCTCTGCTTGAGTTGTCATCGCGCGAGTCATTGCCTGCTACACATAATTTGTCCAACATACACGAGACAAGAATACACGCATCGTGCGTTGATGAGGATCTCTGTTCACTCGGTGGGTTTAATCCTCCTGCGCTCGAAACATATTAGAGTTATTGGTTAGGTCGTCGTGACTCTCCTCCGAGGAGGCCCTATTGCGCGATGCTACAGAAGAGCCTGCACCCTGTAGTTTCTCTGTATCTTCCTCAACGTTAATATTTTCTGGTGGTGCTGGTGAAATTTCCACTTCACTTTCTTTCCAGGTATCGGGATGATCTGTCCAGGATGGTATTTCTTCAAGTTGAAGTAAACATTCAAGGTTACCAGGCAAAGATTCAACGGCACATGATGCTGATTCCTTAATTATAGGCGAGGCGGAGGATTCGATTGCTAATAATAAACTCTCGCAATTTGACTTCATGGGTTGATCAAGTGACGAATTTTCTTTTAATTGGTATTGCAAAGCACCTCGAGCATGACAGACGATTGTCTTTATCATTGCATTTATTCGTTGGGTAGTTGCAGTGTCTAATAACGAACAAGGGGGCTCTTGTCCCGCAGTTTCCCTGTTCTCTGCCAAGAAGGCGGAAAACGAAGTCTCTGATGATGGCCTCCTTGATATGTCCTGAAGTGTACATTCACGGTTACCTTGCGAGATTTCAGTGATAATTGATAGCGAGTCCTTTGCATTCGGCGACAGGAAAGGTTCGGTTGCCAATAATGAACTCTTAGAACTTGATTTCATTGACTGCTCACATAATGACATCTCAGCGTCTTTTAATTTGCATTTTGAAGCAGCTCGAGCGTTATTGACGATTGTATTTATCATTTCATTTATCCTTTGGGTAGTTACAGCGTCTGATAACGAACAAGGAGGCTCTGATATCTCGTCTTTTATTTTGCATTCTAAAGCAGCTCGAGCGTTTTTGACGATTGTACTTATCATTTCATTTACTCTTTGGGTAATTGCAGCGTCATCTGTTGTCAATATTCCCCTGTCCCTTGGTATTGAAGACTGTACAGTAGCTGGACGTTCAGTTTCTATAGCAGAGGCATACAGGTTTGCGCTGGAGCTAGCAACATCACTAGATATAGAATCTTGACCTGAAGGAGCTATGCCTTTACTATGCAAAATTGAACTTTCAGTAGTCTCTACGGCAACTGCCAGAAATGGGCAATTGTCACGTAGCGTGGAAACTGAGGAATGAGATGTTGGATGTCCTATTCCCCAATGACCTGAAGTAGGCGGTTCTTCAGTTTTGCCGTCAAAATCACTAGAATCCCCCTCTGGCTCCAGCTTTTGAAGTTCCTTATGCCTGTTTTTCGAATTCCCTATCTTGAAAATTTTTTTAAACTTCCGTCCAACCTCGGAAATTCTTGACCTCTGTGGCGGAACCTTGGAAACGGTTCGGGGGGATAAATCAGAAGAGAGCACTGAAGAAGGTACTTCTGTCAAAGTTCGGTCTCTTTTTTCTACTCCATATAGTTCTGTTGATATGCTATAATTGAAATCCGCTTCCTTTGATTGCTGTAGAAAATCAATGTCAAGAAAAGAATGCGAAGACGAACCAGCCGCGAACTGGCTTTCTTTTGGAGACGCCAAACCCGGTTCTTCAACTGCAGAGGCATCCATAATCGCAACGGGCAGCAATGGCCGATCGTCGGTTTTCATTACGGGAATAACCATTTCGTTTTGTACATTTTCCTGAATATATCGTTTTGGAAACGATTCTTTATGAGGCGAGTCGTCTTCATCAGCAGGTGAGAACGCGGTACCTTCCAAGTAACTCCTCGATTCCTTATCATTATCGCTCAAATTACCTTCTCTAGCTGATAAAAACTCATTATCTTCGAATGAACAGCTTGATTCCTTGTCCGATGATTCAATTTGGAAAAATTTACTTGGTATCTGAAACCATAAGGGATCACTTAGAGCAGTTCTGTAAGAGCTTATCGGAACATCTTCGCTCGCAGATGACGTGAATGAATAATCTGAGGAAGAACTGAAAAGCGCTTTTTCTGGATCGTTTTTCCGTGGTACAGAGAAGGAAGGTCTCGCACTGTCTGCAACTGTTAACCTTGAAAGGTCCTCGGTTTGTTCCCCTGTAAGTGTGGGTAGCACGTGAGTTTGATATGAATCTAATGTTTTATGATGGTCTAGACGTCCAGCGACTTTTAGAACTTCGTGCGAACTTTCCACATGTAATTTTTCCAGAGTTTCTAGCATTGGATACGATTCATTATCGCGCAAATTATCTTCACCAGATGAAGAAAACTCGTTGTTTTCGAGTGAACTACTTGATTCCTTATCTGATGATTCAATTTGAAAAAATTGACTCGGTACCCGAACCGACGTAGACCCAAGTAAAACAGTAGTATAGGAGCTCAGAGTAACGTCCTCGTTCGAAGATGAATCTTCTGCGGAAGAACGGGGTGGCGGTCTTTCTGAATCATCCCTCTGTGGTGTAGAAAGGGAGGGTCTCGGAGTTTCCGCCAATGGTAACTTTGAAAGGTCCTCAGTTTGTTCCACTGTAAATGCAGGCCGCATAACAGTTTGGTGTGAATCTACAGTTTTCAGATAAATTAGACGTTCAGCACTTTTGAGCACTCCAGGGAACGTTTCCACATGGATATTTTCGTGAGTCTTGAGGATCGTACAGGATTCATTATCGCGCAAATCGCCTTCACTAGCCGATGAGGACTTATTATCTTCGAATGAACTAGTTGATTCCTGGTCCGATGTTTCAATGTGGAAAAATTGATGTGGTATCTGAAACGATGAGGGGCCACTTAAAGCAGTCTTGTAGGAGCTTATCGGAACATCTTCGTTCGAGGATGACGTGAATGAATCATCTAAGGAAGGACTGTTAACAGCTGTCACTGAGTTGTCTCTGGCTGGCAACTCCTCATAATTTTGATCATCCCTAACTCCCATCATCTGTGATGGTGTTTCTCGTGCATAACTTTCCAGGATACAGGGACATGACTTTACTTGAACAATCCGTTTGCCCACTGATTGCTTGATTTCTGTTTCGCTCGAGCTCTTGTTCGGAAATTTTAAGGCGGGTAATGAGATGGGTGTAACTGTGCGGGGGTCAAGGCTAACTTGCGAAAATACTTGTTTTTGACTTTCCAATACATGTTTTGGATGTGAAGTGTCGAACGACTTGTATTCCATTTCGCTAAGGATCACTCTACCTAAGGAGTCCTGGGCTGACCTTGATTCGCCTTCCAAGTGCGAAGTTGCAAGCGTACGTTGTGGCAATGTACCAACCGAAGCCTGTATCGAATACTTGGACTGAGCATCAGACTGTAAACTACCAAGGTCCACGTTTCCTGCAGGGGTCTTAACATCACTGGAAGCTGATTTTCCAAAAGGTCGTGAAATATGTTTCTCGCTTTCAAACTTTCCGCTTATCTGTTCAACAAAATCTGATGGTAAAGTCATAGTCTCAGTTATTTTTCCTCCATCATCGATCTTTACTTCCACGTCAGTCAAAGAACTGGGTTTTGACTTTGCTATAACTGATGACAAACGTCCGTCATGAGAAGACAAAGAACTCCCGAAAACTTGTTTTCCAGATGAAGGTGATTCAGTTTCCACAGCACCAAGTTTTAAGCTGCCCTGGCTGTCTTTCTGTTCTCCTTCCGCCGGCTTCCTTGCAGTCTGGCTAGGTAACAATAATCTATTAGAAGGGACCTTCGTTAAAAATGGAGCTAAAATCGATAAAGAAGTTACACCGGCCTGTGCTAGCGATCCCAAGAGAGACTGAGGTGATGCTTCTGCTTTTTCTGGTAATAAACGATGCTCAAGTAAAGATAATCTGTCGGATCGTTCTTTTGACCATAATGGAGATGATTCACCTACATCCTCTTTACACTCGCTAAATTCTCGTTTTTTATCCAGTATCGATGCTGCAGGTTCAGGATGTGGTAACAAGTTTTGGGGCTGCTTTTCTGCGAGGCATGGAGATGATTCTAATGCCGAGTCATCACTGACGCTTATTCCTAGCTTCCTCAAGGAACTCGGTGCTGCTTGTGAGCACTGATCGTGAAGTGAAGATGATGAACTTTGAGATCTCTGCATTGTCAACTGTGAAAGTGATTCAGATTCAAACCCATCTTGGCCCAAACTACCATGGCTGTAACTTTGCCCTCTTTCAGCTATCACCTTCGCAGGCCATATTTGTGAACATAAACTCTGAGAAAATTCCTCTGTTAGCAATGAAGCCGAGTTTGATGGAGAATTTAAAGTGCTAGTTTCCTGCGATCTCTCTGAGAGAGTGGGTGTTGACTTCACTCTCTCTGGTGGGAGCCGATCTTCAAGTAAAGGTGAGCTGTCGGTTCTCTTCTTTGAAAACGTTGCAAGTGATTCAGATCCCAACTCACGGCCAGCATGACTGAAGCACTGTTCTCCTCCAGTTCTCGCTCCCACAGGCTCCACCTGTGATGATAAGCTCTGAGAAATTTCCGCCGTCAATAATGGAGCTGAGTTTGATCTTAATTCAATAGAGCTGCCTTTTTGATATCCCTTTCGAAGATTGGGCACCGAGGTTGCTCCCTCTAGTAACAACCGATCCTCAAACAAATATAAGGATTCAGAACTTTCCTCTTTAGAAGATGAGGGTGATTTAGACTCCAACTTCATCTGTTGACTGGTAGTTTGCTTGATTGGTTGTTCGCTTGAATGCTCAAATGTTGTATCTAGAGGTTGAATCTCTTTTAATGACTTGGATGTAGTTACAGTTAGGCCACGGCCAACTTCAGGAAAAACTAGATTTTGACTTTCTACTAATTCTTTTTGATATGAAGCAGCCACCGACACATCATTTTGGTCCATACTACCTTCAGAGCACGAGGGTGACCTTGTTTCGTCTTGCAAATGGGAAGTTGAAGGCCGAAATTGCGATGATGTGCCAACTGGAGCCTTTTTCAAAGACTCTGCCCGAGATAGAGTATCAGACTGTACCCCTCCTGACATAACTTTGCTGGACAATGATATCGATGTGGATCGTGAAACAAGTTCCTTGTCCTCAAACCGTCCACCTATCAGTTCTGAACTTTCTGACGGTATTATAAAAGTCTCAGCAACTGTCCCCTCGTCGTAGACATTTAATTGGGCCTCCGTCAAGGAGCTCGTTGCTGACTTTACTCCAGCTGGTGACAGACGACTCTCAATTGAAGGCTGTGAAAGTTCGGATACTTGCTTTTCGGATGAAAGTAATATCGATAAAGAAGTTAGACCCGCCTGGGCTAGCGATCCTGTTAAGGACTGGGGTGATGCTTTTGCTTTTTCTGTTAACAAACGATGCTCAACTGAAGATAAACTGTCGGATCCATCTTTTGACGATGATGAAGATGATTCACCTAGATCCTCTCCACATTCGCTAGATTTTCGTCCTTTTTCCAGTATCGATGATGGAGTTTTTCGTACTCCATCTGCAAGACATGTTTCCTCCACGATACAGGGAGATGGCATCACTTCAGTAATTTGTTGACCAGTCATTTGCTTGATTGGCTGTTCCTTTGAGTTCTCAAATGTCGTATCAGGAGGTTGAAGCGCTTGTAATGACTTGAATGTAACTGTACGAAGGTCACGGTTTCCTTCAGGAAATACTGGATTTTGACCTTCTACTACATTTCCTGGATATGAAGCAACCACGGACGTGTCATCTTGGTCCACACTAATTTCAAAGCCTGTGAGTGACCTTGAATCGTCTTCGAAACGGGACGTTGGGGGCTGAAATTGCGATGATGAACCAACCGAAACTTGTTTCAAAGATTCCGCGGAAAAATCATTATCTTCCAATGAACTATTTGACTCCTTGTCTGATGATCTACTTCGGGAAAATTGACTCATTAACTGAAACGACGAGGAGCCAACTAAAGCAGTCTTATAGCCATGTAGTGGAACGTCTTCGTTCGATAATGACTTAAATGAATTATCTGAGGAAGAAACGAGAACAGGTGTCCCTGTCCGTTCCGTTGACAGTATCTCCTTGTGACATGCACCTTCACTGATATCTTCCAACGATGATGGAGTTTTTCGTACTCCATCTGCAAGACATTTTTCCCCCACGATACAGGGAGATGACTTCACTCCACTAGTTTGACCAGTCGTTGGCTTGATTGGTTGTTCCTTTGATTTCTCAAACGTCGTATCTGGAGGTTGAAGCGCTGGTAATGACTTGAATGTAACTGTACGAAGGTCTCGGCTTTCTTCAGGATATACTGGAGTTTGGCTTTCTACTACATTTCTTGGATATGAAGCAACCACGGACGTGTCACCTTGGTCTACCCTACCTTCAAAGTCTGTGAGTGACCTTGAATCGTCAGACCTTTTCTTTGGAGATGGCGAGAGTGATTCAGGGTCTAACTCACTGAGCCGCAAACTAACCTGGCTATAACCTTCTCCGTTTTCAGCTGTTTGTGTCCTTAAACTCGTAGATAGTTCCTCTGTCGATAGCGAAGCTGATTTGGATTGTGAATCTGCGCTGCAGCTTGCTTGTGCTCCTTTTAAGGAACTAGGTGCCAACTCTGCTTGCACTGGCGCGTACCCATCATTAGGTAATATACGAGTTCTGGGTCTTCCTTTGAGAGATGGAAAAGGTGGTTCCGATTCCATCTCACCGAGCTGCATTCTATACGTTGAACTAGGGGCCGAGTTTACCCTAGCCGAAACCAGACATTTATCGGGCAGAGAAACCAAACTCTGGGATCTTTGCTGTGGCATTAGTGACAGTGGTTGAGATTCCATTTCAGTGTGTTCCAAGCAAGTGTGGCTGTATCTTTGCTCTTTTTCCGCTTTCATCCCTGTTGATTCGACGTGAGGCAATACTCTGCCATAACTATCCCTGCTAGCTAACGATACTGATTCAGGTTCCAAGTTAAGCCGCGAACCGGGAAGAGATCTCCATTCACTTACTGGTGTCATTGCTTTTAGTTGCTGATAGACTGAGTTCTGGGAGTTTTGTTTTAGCAATGTTGGGGCTGATGGTGATCTGTGCACTACTGTACTTTGAAAAAATTCAATGTGCGTCCCTTCTTTTAGAGATTCTCTCTTACTGATGTCTTTGCTGACGTTTGAGATCTTAGCCTCATAATGAGATGAAGGAATCTCTGATTTCTGTGCTAGAGACGTCAGACCAATTTGTACCTTCGGTTTTGTTGCGCTAACTTCAACGACAACCTGGGAGCCCTTAAACCGCGCCATGGAGAATTCGCTTTCGGAAGAGAAACTACCAGAAGTGTGTATGGGAATCTGTGATGGAGAAGGGATCCATGGTTCCATTTCTATGTGTTCCAAGTTCACACAGGAGCCTGAATTGTTCTTAAGATGGTATAGATTAGATGACGATCTCTTCTCTGTTTTTCTCATACTGCTGAAATGTTCATCATAACGGGGTTCCTTTTGACGTGTACAAATCATGGGTAGTGATTCCTGTTTTCTTCTTCTATCCCAATCTCTCTTTCTTCTTTTCTTCCTAAAAACGAAATAACAACAATAGTAAACACGGAAAAACTGGCCAGGACAGATAAAGCTAATATTCTTTTATTTACTTGCAACAGTGTTAAAAGCGCAAAGACTAGAGGGGCCGAGAAAAAAAACCTGAAATAAATTAAATATAATAAATACCACAGGGTTCAGAGGCACAGTAGCCACAGGCTAATTACAAACGTAGTCCAGTATTTTAGCTCGGAACTAACGCAAACAAATCAAGCCTGCGGTCAGGGCGGGACTTGAAATTGAGGTCACCAGATTGCAGGTCCAACGCTCTCACCGGTATGGTGCCTACTGCAACAATTTCGTCGGTACTGTTTTCAACGGGTTTGGGGTATCTCTTCGCTGTTTTGCGTGAATTTACCTGTTAGTGGCGTTTCTAAAAACATTTCAACAAAAGTTATAGATGGACAACGTGAACCATATTCTACCATGGATCGCGGAAATAACCAAATGCCTAGGGGGAAAACCTACCATATGTATAGGCTCAGCAAAACTATGGCACCAACTAAAAGAATTCCACCCACGCTTACTCCAGAAACTAAGGCAACAGGATCTTCTTGGGAAGCTGTTGTTGCGACACCTGTGGGGAAATTTTTAATCAGCAATATGTAAGAGAAGGACACCTGGACGCTTATTAAGGCAGTTGGGTGGGAATGGACTTTCTCCGAGGTGCGTCCATATACATCTTTTAAAATCCTGCTTAGACAGATAGCCACCGGCTTTACACATCAAATAGCGTTTGCGATTAACCCCGTCAAACCTTCGAGCGACCAGCAGCTAATTTCCCTTTAAATATCATCGATTAAAAATAGAAGGTACGAGAAAAACAAAATGATCAGCATGTTAAATGGTCTGGATTGAGTTTTAAAGAAATTCCGGGGAGTTTATAGAGGTCGGTGTGGATAATCTGGTCAAAGGTTAGCGGGTGAAAGGCCCTCGCACCAAAACACATGCCGTGTATTGATATCAAAGCTATTTACAAAGTTCTTACAGCAACACCCTCTGTACGCCTAACCATAAGGTAGCGCTATTTAATATATTTTTTTCTCCCTAAAAAGCGTTGAAGAAATAAAAATGACAATGAAGGTGCTAATTCAATCGTAGCAAAAACGGTAAGGTAGATTGTTATTAAAGGTACGGGAAGGAGTGTTTATTTGAAAGGGTTCCATACTTGGGGGTGGGACCTCATATTATTATTCAAGGATTTACTGTATAGAGGTTTATTAGTCTTGCAGAGAATTTTAGATGAAGAGGCGATATGGTCAAAAGCAATTAGATGCCATAAGTTGCTACTAGCTTAAACTTGTAATGTAACATGCCTGATGCTGATGAGGTCGTTTAGACACCCCAAAAAATTGCCTAACATTCAGCGTTTTTGGATTCAACAATGTATCGTAAGAATAGACTAATTAGAAATTGTTTCATTGAAAATACCCACCAACGAATGTTATTTTAACAAGCGCACTGGCTTGCAGAGAGTTAACCGGTAATTTGTCATCAGCCTTGACATGAAGCACAATGGAATCGCCAACTGCAACTGTCAATGGTGCAATTAGAAAGAGTTCACCGCTCGTTGAATTGATCCTGAACATCTCATTGGCATTTCCGTCCGTTATCGTGTACACCACTTCGGCATTCTGACCGACATCTGCATCAGTCGCCTATAAACACGTAAACAAGGCTGCATTAAGTCACCATAAACATTCCAAGGACCCATTTCATGAAGAAAAGATGAGTCCAATCCACAGACCAATGAGTTCTATAAAAAAAAGCTTGAGCCTCAACAGCCAACCATAAGTCTTCAAATAGTTTGGTAGGGATTTCCTTTTTTTTAATTTCACTTGTTGGTGGAACAACGGCCACATTAAAAGGACTTGAGCCACAAACAGGAACGATATCACTCATGAAAGAAGCTGGTACACTCCAGGTGGGTTCGACATTGAAACCGAACACCTTCGAAACTTTAACATCTTTTCCTGTGGCCTATTTTGATTTTCTTCTCTTTTTCAGCGTTAAAAAGGGATTAAAGGGTAATTTTGTGCCGAAAAGCCTGTAAGTGTATTAAAGTTAAAAACACTGTACGTAGCTCACCTACGCGCATTCAGTACCCACTACACTAATTTTTTTGCGTAGAAATGCTTCCAATAGAGAGGTTAAGCATCACAGTTACGTCAAACGGCAAACGCAAATTTGTACCAGCTGACCATGTTTCCCCATCACTCGTCGTTTACTCTTCATTATTTCTACACATAAATACGTAGTTTCCCGCAGTTTTGTATCCATAGGAATTGTTTTGCGCTGTTTTTATATTTTGAGAAATTCTCAACTTGAATCTGACGTTTGCCTATAACCTATACGTGAAGCTTAAACTCTCTATTAATTCGTACAGAAATCATTTGTAGAGGTACTTTATGGGCATGACGTGATACAGGTTCAAAAACAGGTTCAAAATCACACAAAGGGAATATTCTTTAAAAACATCTCGGATCGATCGATCGATCATTGCGCCCTACAGGGCGCACGCCGTCAATAACTTTGAGAAGTTTTATGCCTCAAGGAAGGCAAGTCGTACGGGTACTAAAATCACTGCAAAAAATAGCGATACCTTAAGGAGTTGTAATGAAACTTCTGGATTCTTTCGTATAAGATAAGTAAGTCGCAACACAATGCGAGTCACATTTGATCGTCCAAAATAGAATGAAACATAAACCGTTCTTCACCCAAAAACACAAAACTTGTCTTACATTCACTCTTAAAAGGAGCCCAGGTTGTGTATACAGGCTCAGAGATAATGAGTATTCCTTTTCCACAAACACTGGCGGATTGTCATTAACGTCTTCAACTAGCACTAGCACTTCCACTTGGCTGCTCAGAGATTCGGGACTGCTGTTGTCAGCTGCGACAACGGTAAGCATGTGGCGGTTTACGGTCTCACGATCAAGAGATACAGAAGTCTGTATCTCGCCAGATGTTTGGTTTATCTGGAAACTAAAACACAAAACAAGTGATTCCTTAAGCAGCGTGGACGGTTTTTATTCTACATATCAACATGTGGAGGAATATAACACTTAACATAAGCTCCAACTTAGACTAAGGCCTTTGCTCATTTCGTATTCGAAAACCCAGGAATGAAGTGATAGGTCCCAACAGCGAAGCAAAAGTGACGATCGCTAGTCAGTCGACACTATCTTTCATTACTAACTTTTAGGGGGATAAGGGCCCACGAAAACAGCGTAAAGCAAATACCATAACGAAATAATTAAGAGAAACTGCTTCGTAAATTCATCATTAGCTATGTATTTTAGTTTTGTCAAGTCTGAATACATTTGCTTCTAGAATTAAAGCAACGAAAGGATCCTAGTATCACTGATTTAAGAGCCATCAAACCCAATATATAAGCAAGGCACATTCAACAAAGAGATTCGGCCGAGTAAAGACAGATAAAGGTCGAATACTCACAAAATTGTAGGTTCGGTAAACGAATAGGAGATCTTGCCATTCATCCTTAAATCAAAATATAAGGCCTGTTCGAAGGGTAATAAAAAGAAACATTCATTAGGTATCACGAAAAAGGGTGATTATATTTTACGGAAAAGAAGGTTAGGACTGACGATCAAAAGACAGTTGAGGTATAGGACTGCCTACCCGCTTAACCGACATTTCTTTTGTCCATGACAATCAATTCTCTTACTCATCAAAATGGCTATGTCACGAGGATATTTATTGCTGTTTTAGGTCAATTCTAAGATCAAGAAATTAATTTGTGTCTTTACTCATACACAAAATGCTCCTGTAGAGTTACTAACGAAGAAGGTATCAAACAAATGGCATCAGGGAGCACCAACCATAATATTTTTTAGCAGCTTGTGCTGGCTTGGCATTAAAACTTGAAAAGGTTGACGCAACGTTTTTAAGTTCCAATCCACTGCCATCCTTGCCATCCGTAGCAGATGGCAGAAAATAGTTTCAATGCCTAAATAATTCTATAGTCTTAAATAACAAAACTGGACATTTAGGTTTGGAACTCAATTACTGTGAAGACAAGTTTTGGCATTTTAAAGCGAAGAAAAATTGCGTGACAGAGCCCCTTTAACAATTCTCGAAATGGAAAGAAAGTATGGAAATTTGGAGGTTGGATGACAACTTCAATTAAAGGTTTGGTACTTTAACTTTGAATTACTTTAAGAATTTTTGTTTATTTCAAAAGCTATATCAAACATTACTCCACTCAGTGTCGCATCCGATATCTAGACACCTTGAAGCCGGTCTTAAAAAAAATTGCTCCGCGCAACGGTTTTCAACCCCCTTGTCGGTATCTGAATATCGGATGAAATACTACGTACAACGTTTACTTGAACTTTTGCCCATAGCTTTCTCATTTTAAACGCAAAATGAAACAGTAATTTTGTCCTAAGCGCCAAGCCAGAACATATTCCCAATAATTTGGTCTGGATTGCTCGAAACTCGAAAAATTGTTGACTTAAACTCATATTTAAGGCAGCTCACCGCGGTTTTCAACTAGCGGGGGGGCGGGGGGGGGGGCCTTTCCCCCCCTCTATTAACCCCCAAAAATTTTTCATAACCACTCAAAATTGGTGGGAGAAAAACAAAATTTTAAATTCAACCTACAATAAATGGTAGCGTCAAAATGCAAAATGTTTTAAAGGGAAACTTTTTTACCGGAATTGTTTATTTCCAAAAGTAATGAAAAAATTTTAACCCAGTTATTGGGAACTTAAATAAAATTACAGGTAAAATATGTACATCGCACCCATCACACAATAAATACTCAACAAATAGTTTTGGTTTGTGATAGTAAAAAAATAGAAGTTGTATATATAATACCTAAACTGGTAGCCGCCCGCGGGGGGTGGGGGGGGGGGGGGGGGGGGGGGGGGGGGGGGGGGGACTTTCACCCTCATCTATATGCCACCAACAATTCTCATAAGCACTTCAAAATTGATGGAGCAATAGCAAAATTTGAATTTCAGCCTACAATAATGGTAGCGTGCAAATACCAAATTGTTTTAAGTGAAAGCTATTTTACGGACATTGTTAATTACCATAGTAACTGAAAAATCTGTAGCCAGTTATTTGGCAACTGAACTAAATTGCATGGATTGAGTGAGTCGGACGGCAGATGTCTACATTGCAGCATAAACTAAAAATAGCCACTCTAAAGTGTGTCAATCTCTTAAAATCAGCATTACTCTTTTAAAAATTAATTACTGAAATTAGGCAAATTAAAGATATTTTTAGATCTAGAAAATACGAATGCGAAAAAAGGACTTTTATAGCAATAACCGACCTGCAAACGACTGGCTGTCGGTCTTTCCCTGTGGATTTAACAATAATCAGATGGAAAATAATATAAATACCTTAACAAAGCCAACACTGAGTCCTCCTCCTTCTTCTTCCTTTACACTGAACGTGTAACCATGTGGATGTTCAAAGGTTGGTGGCATGGCATTTTCCAGTACTACATTCACCTTTATCAAAGCCCAATCTACTCGAGAGACACCTGATACAGTGGCTAAAACCCCAACCTGCCAGACGTAACAACCGAAAGGAATTAATGTTATGAAATGAAAAGTACATCCTTCATGAAAAAAAAAATAAACCGAATTCCTTCTGCCGCATTTCCAGGAGCTTGCTTCACAGACATAATATAAACCCTGTTAGCAATGTCTGCGAAGCAGCGCCAAGATCGTTGTTATGAGCCCCGAACGGGCTCAACGAATTAATGGAAATGCGTTTGAATTTCCCTTTAACCTGGCAAATCGACAGTGGTCTTTTAACACGTCAATCATGGCGCGTACTCAAAACCTGTACACAAGTGGGGGCCTAGAGAAAGGATTTCGGCGTTTTTTCGTAGACAGACTTAACCACGCGTATAGTTTCAGCTGTGGTGTAGGCTACATTTCCAGGCGCTGTTAATCGATTTTGTCGTTTTTAGGTAAATATGGATGCCTACAACCATAAACCCCTGCTAGCACCCTGAGCTCTGAATACAGAATCCCATTTTCTCGTGCTAGGATCTTACTAAAACACTTGAAAAGCCTTAGGAGGAGCCCACAATTCCTGTTCATTCACCACCCGCAGACAGAAGTGAAAGTAACGCTTCAACCATAAGTTTCGCAGTGTAAAAAATTCGTCAACGAACTGTTACAAGCATCAGATTAATCAGACAGAAAAAAATCTGATATCACTCTTTGCGTCTACTTAGAGTTACTTCGCAATATCTTTTCAGAGAGGAAAAATTACAAGAATTAGCGCGCGCACCTAATCATATCAGAATAGGTGGTGCCAAACTAATCTACAGTGGAAACTTGACTTAAGACCTCGCGTCCTTACGCCTAAGCCATTATCGTGACCACATTCTTTTGAACCAAACGCGAAAAATACTGTCATTCTCTTATTTAAAAAACATCGTTTATGTGAACAGAATTTCATAGCCCTTTGGTGCTCGCAGTAACGCGGGGTATCATTGCTCAGCCTTGTTTCTAAATAGTCATTCGGATCTTCGCGATCATACGGTATGTCTCAAAATACTCATGTTCAGACGATCGAGACCATCATATGGAGTTGCCTGTGACGCCATGCTGAACGATTTGGACGATCGCAGCTGTCTGAAAATGAGCGAAGTCTATTGGGATGACTTCGCCGGGCAGGAAAACCCAAGTCCGATTGCGCGGGATTGTAAAGCGTGGTGGCCCAATGGGCAAATGAAATCAGTGGTCCTGTGAGGCTGACTGAAAGTGCCAGCTTGGTAAAAATAATGATTATTTCCAGACAGGAACTATAATTTAACAGAAGACTGCAACATGAGTGACAAAAATAGTTGAAAGCATGAATCAATTCATAGAGATAGAGAGTACCTTAGAACTACAGATGGTAAGGCAGTGCGTTCTCTTCGGGCAAGTAATATTTAACTAGGGGCAAGTGAAAACTGAAATTTACTTGCCCACTGGGCAAGTGGATTTCAAAATTTTTACCTTGCCCTGTTTTGGTGTTCATGGGCACTTGTAAGTTCTCATAATACATAAGATTGCATCCGCGTAAAGTAATGGCTAGGACCCAATGCATTTTGTAAAAGATGGCGCGCTAAGACAATCCAGGCTAATATTCCGAAAACACTGAAACGCTGGGATCGTTTTGATTGTCCCAAACGTTCTTGGGAGGAGTGGCGTGATCGACACAATTCGGGCGGACGAAAATATGGAAACCAGGCTAAAACCTCTAAGTCCAAGAGTGACCAACATCAAGTTTCTCCTGTCAATATCATTACATAAGCTAGAGACAAGGTTACGAGAATTAATAAAATGATCTCCTAAGGGAAAATACCTTGATTCGAAACTAATTCTCTAAACTTAATTCTCTAGGGAAATGTATGGAGATCAGTTTAGAGAATTTCTATGTGGATATTTGGCCTCACACGATTAGGCATTTTTTATCCTTGACCATTTTTGCTGCGTGCCAGGTTTCACACAGATGGATTGACTGTCAATTCCAGCTCGCTGTGTGTCGACAGCTGATAATTTTTTCTTCAATCAAGTAAATATTTAATTGAATTTATCGAGTAAACATTTTCAAAACAAGAACAAAGCACGTGGAGCAGCTTCGATGAACAAGGCAAGGTAAGTAAGCATATTCCGTGAAAAAGGCCGTACCTCTATCGTATGAGATCCCACGTCCTGTTCAGTGATGTTTCGCCCGGTTCTTAGAACGCCTTGATGATCCACAAAAAATAGATCCGAATAATTCCCCCCAAGGAAAGTGACGTTTGACTGAGAAAAAAAAATGATAACATTAATTAATGAAAAGGACTTTAACAAAACAGCGATCGCACCGGACTGGATCAATCCCTTGGAGTCACTAAATGACGTAACGTTAGGGATAGGGTTACAGAGAGTCATCAGGACCGTCTCAAGAGTTCCAGTAACTTTTTGGGCCCGAAATTTTACAACAGTCACCTCTCTCGTGAGCGACCACCCTTGGTACACGACAAAGTGGTCGCTCACGGGAATTCGTCTTCTACGGGATAAACAATAAAATACGCTCAAACTGAACTAATTAACATAATTACATAAAGTAATTACCTCCCAAACTAAAATTAGGCAAGTAGACAAGTGGTAATATTTCACAGCGAGCATCGCTTGGAACTGTTGAAATTTTGTACAAAGGTTAAATATTTTGTATCAATGTTACAATCCACATTTTTACCTACAGATTGTATTACAGCCATTTTTTTAAGTCAACTACTACAATCTACAAGCACTTGATAGTTTCATCATATGAACTGAAAAACTATTGAAACCTCAATCTTGAATGTAAAAAACAGCTTTCCGGTTTGAAAATTTCAATATTCACAAAGTTAAGGTTTGTTTGGAACACCACTGAACCGTAATTGGGTGGCAAGAGGTCCTCTTCCTATACAAATCCTTCTAGTTTTCAGTGACTGTCGCAATCTCTAACCTTGAAATAAAACCCTGAAAATTCATGTTAGCCAAATCTTATGTGCTGCCTATTTCCGCAAAAACTATTTTTCCAAAACGCATTGTTTTTATATCTGCAAAAAGTTACAGCTGCTTCAAACTGTTGTAAAATCTTTCCTTTACAATGACGGGGCTCAAATTTTCTTTTTTTTTTCGATAACAGATAATTTGAGCCCTTAAATGTGTAAGGAACAGTTAAAAGTTTCAAAATTTACAAGGACTTGTATGAAAGCCACTCAACCGTGACTGCCGTGGTAAGAGTTGTTTTTCCTATACAAATCCTTGTGATTTTCGGCGGCCGTTACAATCGCTACTTTTGAGGTTTAGGGCTGAAAACTTACGTCTTACCAAATTGTATATGCTCTTACAGGTCCTGTCAACAACCTTTTCTAAAAGCGAAGTGTTTTCATGTTTATGGAAAGTTGATCACGTGCCGATGCAACAATATTGCAAAAGGCCTACTTCGTACTATTCAGTCATTGTATTTTTCAACCCAAGCTATGAGTTGGTGCCTTGTTTACAGCATTACAATGGTCTTTTTAACAACTCGACATCAATTTTCCATGGTCTAAAAATTGTTGTTGATTTGTTTTTTACAATGACATTGAAAATTTTGACGTCCATTTCCGTTGGAGTTTCTCGGAGAATCGTGTAAGTGAGAAAGAGAAAAACAAATTGCAGCACCAGGCCATCATTTCCATGGTCTGTACTCTTATCAAACATAGCTCTCAACCAATCAGTATCATTTGTGCGAGAAACCGCTTAGTTATAGTAAAAAAAACAGATTTTCCTCAAACTAAGACCTTACCTTACAAAAAAGAACGCTACTTTGACTTCTACGTAAAATCAGTAAATTTCAAACATTAGGAATTGTTCTTTTGCTACCAGGAAACCAAAAAATTAGGCAAGCCAAGACTCTCTTTGAAGGATCAATGACTGATCTGTTGCATGCATTTAACATTTTGGTCCAACTTCATCCATTTTGAGACGGTGTTGGATTCTACTATTCAAACCTGATCCAACAACATATACCACATGAAGTTAGAGCAACAATTGTTAGATCAGCTCTAATGCAAAATTTTCAAGGGTGATGACATACCTTATTTCCAGGTGTCATTTCTAGCTGAAGGAGGCCATAAGCGACAGGAATGTGAAAACTGATGTTCTTTTCGTAAATATACTGAGACAGCAAAGATGCACTGGTATTGCTATAAAGGTTCCCTGCATTAATGGTATCGTAGCATACGTCATGCATTGTAGGATCACTGAGGTTTCCAATGCAGTATGTTACACAGAACTACAAAAAAAAACAAACAAGCTAATTGAATAATTCAAAAGTATTAAAACTTGAACAAACTGATTGAGACAGAACTAATAAGCAAAGAGATTTGCCAGAGGATAGGTAGGTGGATAGACTGATAGCTGGTTGGCTGGCTGGATGGGTGAATAGATGGATGGATGGACGTATGATTGGATAAATGGGCGGTTGGCTGTACAGATGAGGGAGTGGACAGATGGATGCATGCATCCATACATCATTATTTATCCATCTTTGATGCACCCATTCATGATCATCAAGGATAAATATAGATAAATTAGTATGATGGATGGATCCAGAGTGGGTTGATGGATGAAAAGATTTGTAAGTGGTTGGATGGGTGGATGCATGGGTTGGTGCAAGGACGTCTCTATGAGCCAGTTGCTGGCTAATTTTAGGGGCTCAAATCACTTTGGAAAACAAAGACATTGGTTAATTTTGAAGGTGCCGTTGAGTAAAAAAAGCAGGCTTGACTAATAGAAGAGCCTGCTTAGCTTTCCCTTACCTACATCCCTAGGTGGGTGGGTCAGGGTGGATTTCAAAAATATTGACAAAGAAAAGATTGAAAGCCAAGAGACCCACCATGACATAACAATAGTAATAATAATAATTATTATTATTATAGTTATAATAATAATAATAATAATGACTT